TTGAAAGACATTATCACTCTTTCTATTCTTAGCCTCTGTTTTACAAGGTGTCACGCTGTTGTCTGTCGGTGCTAATTAGCGAGCGCTTTGCTATCTGCTGTCATGTTTTTTTGAGTCCAGGTCAGAGTTTGGTTTGCATGTGCTTTCTGTGAGTTTCCACCCTCACAGACGGAAAACTTTTATTTTCACTTGTTGACTCTAACAAGCGTCTGGAGCTTTGAATATGTCTGTGCCCTTGATTTAATTGGGTGTTTGTTCCACAACGCAATGTTTGTTTGTAAGGGAAAGTGCAACCTGCTGGATTGAGTGTCGTCACTGTCTGGACTTGTGTTGCAATTTCCTTCCTCATTTAAACAGAGGAACACTTCGTTCATTCCTCAGTAAATTGAATGCTTGTCCATGAAGAGGAAATGAGAATTTTTTAGTGTCTATGGAACTGCTATGAGACCAAGACCTCTGTCTGCCTTTAAGTAGCAAAGGGTTGTCATACTATCATCAAGTTAATATCCTGAGCAGAAAACTAAATCATTTAATTTCACCTCAGACGTTGCATACAAGCGTTTTCTTCATGATGAGCAATGTGTGGGAGCGCATTTACCAGTTTAAAGGGTGAAACATTATGAATGAAAGGGAACCGACTTTATTCAGAAAAGTTTTGTTGACATTTTTTCATGTTGTAGCCTATCCCTATAATTCCTAACAAAATAGTGTTATAAGCACAGCGCTGCTTTGTTTACAGTGGTAACCATGGTAACCGCTGTATTTCTGCGTGCCCAAAAGCGCCACCTGCTGTCAGGGATTAAATTAGCATTTTCATTAATGACATCTGCTGATTTTATTGCTGTCAGTTTTGTAAATCTTAACCGTTTGATGGTAAATAAGATCAGTTCGGAAAATAAAATATTTTTTTTTGACACTTTGATGCATAGCTAAGTCTTTCAAATGGAATGCATATACAGTGTTTTTGACTGGCTTCTGAGGGTTTCTTACTTTTAGACTAGACAAGTTACACAGTTACGCTTTAAACGGCAGAGATTTTAGTCGTAGTGCACATCTCTAATCATATCAAGAGAAATGATTTTTATTGATCTTTTCTTCCTGATATTGAGTTATAAACAATTACAAAGCTATTTTTGCTATTTATAGATATATCTGTCTACATATAGATAAATAGTTAAAACATTGTATTAATTAAAAAATAATTTAATTCTATAAATTGTTTAAAAAAATGTGTTTATTTACTATATATATATATATATATATTTAACAATTTGCTTAATGCAGTTTTGCATTTTTTTTTCTTTTTTAAATTTTTGTCTGTTAAGTATAATAAAAACACAGTTTATTACCACGAATGATTTGTTTCAAACACTGGAAAATCTTTTGGCACTTGTTGAATCTCCCTCTAATTGAAAACTTTTCTACAGCTCTGTTCCATTAAGATATATGAGAATGATAATGAAAATCTTTCAACAGGTTACAGAAAAATAATTGTATTTTTAACAAAAAAAAAGTTGAAAAAGTTGTGTACCAAATTCTGTCTGCACGATACATCGTATTTTAATCTGGATTTTTTGGTTTATTTCGATTAAGCATAATGGTCTGCAATTATTATTATTTTTTTTTTCAAAAAGCCTTTCACTTTCATTTGACATTTTGCATTGGTAACTTCCAAGAGCTTTCATGTTTGCGGTTACCAAATGTCAAGAGTTTAAAATCAACCAATCAGAGCGTTTTTTTTCCCAACATTTTCTGCTTAGTGTTTTACTTAAACATCTCAACCTGGCAACCATGCGCACACACTCTTTCTGCCCTGAAAAAAGTGCTGATGATCTGAAAATATGCTATATTTTTCTGAAATGACAGTGTAATAAGTCTGTTTTTTTCATCTGGTCATTTATGCAGTTTTCTGCAAGTTGACATTCTCTTAATTTGTATCAGAGTCAAAGTGCATTCATTCTGATGAAATGTAAAAAAAAAAAAAATTCTAAAACGACAATAATTGTGATTATTGTACACTATGCACTATGTACTCTACCATAGTGCATGAATTTTAGAAGGGTAGTTTGCCATCTTTCTTAGTTTCCAGCATGCCACACTTCGTTTTTTGGGTAAAATAAGTGCATCATTTGAATATTTGAAGTGCACTTCTTGTTGGAATATGTCTGTGATCTGGGTCATTTTGAGACATCATAACCTGTGTTTCAGTGAGTAAGTAAATGAGCCATCTGGCCTGATTCAGTCCGGTGATTGATTCATAACTCTTTCTGCTGTTCGTGTTGCTCATGACAGTCTTGTCATTACAAGCGTGTTCTGAACAGTGTTTCGTGTGGGTGTTTGAACAACCTCTGCCTGCAGTCACCCGTGCATTAATGAGAGAGAGAGAGAGTTTTACAAAGACCTTCTGACCTCACACCTTCATCACTCATGCACAGCAGTGTGGTAAACAAACAGCATCCGTCAGGGCCGGTGTTGATGAACCAGAGGCAGAAGTAGGTCAGAATTCTGACTCTAACAAGTGTGTGTTAGAATAAATGTAGGCCACTTCATACAGCCGCAGTTGGTGCTTAGTACCATTTTGGAAACAGATGAACTTCTGAGCTTAGACAACTGGGGCGTTAGGTGTGGAAAAACTACAGGTTTTCATAATTATCTAGTTGGTGGTGGCTAGTCAGGTTTATATAATAAAACAGGTCTAGTGCTATACACAGATAATTGCAGCCTCTCAATAAGGTAATTGACAGATATTTAGTTAATAAATGGGCTTAAAGTCAACATGAAATCATAATGGAACATTTTTATATATAAACATTTAGGTTTTATTTTGTGCAGTCCTTCAGTGTGCAAAAAAAATTGTTGAAAGTTTTCATTAAAATGTAATTAAATTTCCTTTTCAGCTGATGAAATGGATTTCTCGAACATCCTGGCTCCATGATCCAATCAATTTTTTTTCTTGTTTAATATTCTATTTCACTCTGATTATGGAAGGAAAATAGATGAGCAGCACTGCACATTGACATTTGGGTTTGAAGTTAGAAGTTTGAAGACAGAATTTATTTGGATTTATTTTAAAATTTAATGTGAAGGCATTTTTTACAGATGCTTTTACCATTCTTGAAGTGTAACTGTTGGACTTTTGGACAGCATGCTGTCAGCACGCTCAAGCCTTTCTGAAAAGTTTTGACTGTAAATTAACCTGCTTTAAGGCACAGTTGAAAATATTAAAAGTACAAACCAAAACTAAAAATATGTGTTTTCCATACAAATATGTACAGCACTATTCATTTTGTGTCATCTATTTTCTCTCTTTTTTTTCAAATCTGTTCTCACTGACCTGCATTGCAAAAATGTTAACCTAATTTTCATTTTGTTATTCAAGATATGTTAATCCTCTTGGTGATTATTAGTGGTACTTATAACTAGTCTGAATTGTTATGTGTAGCACAATTCGTAACCAGTGACGCTACGTGAAGCCCATTCACAAACTGGCATAATTCCTCTTCCTTTTGTGGGCACTCATGGACTGTTACATAATGATAGCTACCTAGTTGTGTGTGTGTGTGTGTGTGTGTGTGTGTGTGTTTCTAAAGTCACAACAATAGTGCACCAATTATATAACAATGCAATACAAATGATATTAAGATTCTGGCTAATACAGATAAACTAATAATAATTTTTGTACTTGCTATGGTTGATAACTTATAAATAGCTGATATTATAATAATTGTTTTAAATAAAGTGATGTGAATCTATATTTGAAATGAAAAGTAATGACAATAATAATAACAGTAATAATACTAACAATAAATGTGCCCTTAAAGGGTTAGTTCACCCAAAAATGAAAATTAGTCCATAAATTACTCACCCTCAAGGCATCCTATGTGTATATGACTTTCTTCTTTCAGACGAATCCAATCAGAGTTATATTAAAAATGGTCTTTGATCTTTCAAGCTGTTTAATGGCACTCAGCGGGTGTTGCAGTGCATCAGTCCAACAGAAGTGAAATAAAAAGCGCCCATCCATTAAAAAAGTGTCTCTCATGGCTCCGGGGGGTGAACAAAGGCCTCCTGTTGCGAATTGATGCGTTTTTGTAAGAAAAATATCCATATTCAAAACATAATAAGCACTTTAATGTAGCTTGTGCCAACAGTTGTACAGAGAAGCAGCTCCGGGAGGATGACGTATGAGGTCAGCGTTGCGCATGCGCCGATGCGTCTCGTGAAAACCAACGTTTGTTAACAGGAGCAAATGAAGCTTCTTTTGGACTGATGCATGCAACACCTGCTGAGTGCCATTAAACAGCTTGAAAGATCAAAGACAATTTTTTATATAACTCCGACTGGATTCGTCTGAAAGAAGAAAGTCATATACACCTAGGATGACTTGAGGGTGAGTAATTTATGGGCTAATTTTCATTTTTGGGTGAACTAACCCTTTAAAAGGTTAATTTTGTTTTAGCTGATATTATAATAAGTGATGTGGAAATACATTTTAAATAATAATAATGATAATAAATGTGCTCTTAAAGGAAACATTTTTAGCTGATATTATAATAATTATGTAAAATAAAGTGATTTGGTACTTAAAATGGAAAGAAATTATAATAGTAATAATAATACTACTACTAATAATAATAATTTTTTTTTTGAAATTATAATTATAATACTAATAATAATTTTTAGCTGATATTGTAATATGTGATGTAAAACTAGATTTTGAATGAAAATTATGAGGATAATAATAATAAATGTGCATCATGAAATATCATTTTTTTATCATCTTATCACTGCTGCTTCAACACACACACAAAACTAAATTCAGACCTGTGACATCAGGTATCATTTCTACAATAAACTATGATGGAGGCTCTTTATTGATTTATTTTTTTCTTCCGCCCACCCCAGTGTGTACACACAGGGAAACATTATGCAATTTCTTCCTACCTAATGTCACTTCTTCCTGTTTCTGATCTAATATCTCTCTCTCTCTCTCTTTCTAGTTATTGAGAGAGAAGATAAGCGGGGCAGAAGGGACAAAGCTTGATGAAGACTTCATGGAAATGGAGCGGGTGAGAAAAAAACAGCAGAAATTAGCCCCTCTTCACATGTGATTTATATGACAAATATATTTATTTACCCTTACCTTTTCCTACCTCTACAGAAAATAGAAGTCACCAACAAGTCTGTTTTTGAACTTATAACGAAAACCACAGAATACCTTCAGCCAAACCCAGGTATGAATCACAGATCTGATATATTCATAACACTTATGATTTCATTGAGTCATTAAATATCATTAACACCACCTACTAAGCAGCAGTGTGCAGTGGACTTCTGAAATGAGGAGGCGAGGCCTTCCAGTTCTAGTTTGATTACAGGGTTGAAGTCTTGTGAAACACTAGCCTTATACTTAACAAAATGCTATAATAACATAGTATGTTTATACTACTGTACTATTTATTAAAACTTTATTAAAAATTCTGAGCAGAATTATACCACTGTTTGGGGTTGGTACGATTTTTCAATGTTTTTGAAAAAATTATCTTCTGCTCACCAAGGCTGCAGTTATTTGATCAAAAATACAGTAAAATCAGCAATATTGTGAAATGTTATTACAATGTAAAATAACAGTTTTCTATGTTAATATATTATAAAATGAAATTATTTCTGTGATCAAAGCTGAATTTTCAGCATCATTGCTCCAGTCTTCAGTGTCACATGATCCTTCAGAAATCATTCTAATATACTGATTTGCTGCTCAAGAAACTTTCCTTTTTATTGTTAATGTTGAAAACAGTTGAGCTGCTTAATATTTTTGTGATGCCTGTTTTTCCAGGATTCTTTGACGAATAGAAAGTTGAAGAGAACAGCATTTATTTGAAACATCAATCCTATTCATAATTAATAAAAGTTATTACTTTCTTAAAAAATCTTACTGACCCCAAACTTTTTTTTTTAAACATTTTAACATTTCTTAAAAATGACTACAATAATACAGTAAAAATTCATACCATCAGTCATCAAATGCTTGGTTAACACTTCATGGCATGATGGTGGTGGACCTTTATTTCAAGCTCACTCACAGTTTTTTAGTGCAGTTTGATTTAAAGGAACACTCCACTATTTTTGAAATTAGGCTCATTTTCCAACTCCCCTACAGTTAAACAGTTGAGTTTTACCGTTTTCGAATCCATTCAGCTGATCTCCGGGTCTGGCGGTAGCACTTTTAGCTGTAGAGCCGTTTTAGGGGGGCGTGGCAGAGTCTTAACTTTGATAAAGAATATCTCTTTGGTTTTGAGACTTTAGTCTTTGCAACTTCAGGGATCTTATCTATGCACAATCAGCGTGTAACACTCCAAAGAGAAAGGAAAACTTGAAATCGCATCATATGACCCCTTTAACTCTAGGGGAGTTGGAAAATGAGCCTATTTTAAAAAATAGTGGAGTGTTCCTTTAAACTTAATCAACAATGTTGAGTGGCTAAGTTGTTAACTAATGTAATTAAATCCATTATTACCACTAGTTTGATCCATTCAGGCTGACCTGTTCAAACATGATTTTTGCCCATTATGGCATTAAAATGATTATCTCACTCAATGAGAAGAACACAGTAAACTCACCTCCCTTTGAAGCTTCATCACTATTGCACAATATAATTGATTTACACACTATTTAATCTTGTATTTTGACTTTTTTTTTTTGGTGGTGTTGATTATTTTCTCATGCAGTATTTTTTATTTATTTATTTTTAATTTTTTGAGTAGGCACTGCCTTTCTTGCCTCCACTGCTGCTACTAAATTACTGTAATTTCTCAGTCAGTGACTCATGTTTGGAGTGCAGTGTTATGATTTCTGGTGTGGTCATGAGTGTATGTCGTGTATCCGCACAGCATCAAGAGCCAAACTGGGAATGCTCAACACCGTGTCTAAAATCAGAGGGCAGGTGAAGACGACGGGTTATCCACAGACTGAAGGGCTTTTAGGAGACTGCATGCTGCGATATGGACGGGAACTGGGCGAGGAGTCCACTTTCGGTAACGTCCGCACATACCGACAGTCAAGCGCACGCATGCACAGACATGAACCACAGGCAGACGGTTACGGAAATCCCACTGCAGCGCGAAGGAATGCTGGTCAATCTCGAGAACTCTATCTCTCTTTGAGTCACACAATCTTGCACACTGTGCATTGTGAAACGTGTTTCCTGCAATATTACTGTACTTATAGCATTTGAACACAACTCTGACACCTTGTGGTGCTTTGTTGATGCCAGACACAGATGTGCACATGCTGGTTATTTTACAATGGTTTCCAAAGCGGCTCCTCCAATTAGAATTTTAAATCAGAACTGTTTTACTGTTTGGGGTATTTTGTTGCATTTTTTTTTTGCAATCTTACCCTGTGAATTGTGTTCATTAAATGCAAATTAAAAAAATAATGAAATAAGTACCTCTCATTTGTAAAGTATTTAATCACTGGATTATCATATTATCACAAAAAGGCGTGATTAATGTGATTATGTAATAAAGTGTTATTTTTGTCATTAAATTTTATTGAATTTTAATATGTAGTTATTTTAGTAAAAAGATGTGGATTGTATGTATATTTATATATATATATATATGTATATATATATATATGACAATTTCTCTCTCTACATTTAAGTGTTCCATTATTTATTTATTTTTTTAATCAAATTTTTATTGTTTTGAGATTGTTTAATATACAGAATAACAGACAAACAATCAGCTTTGCACCAGAAAAACAAAACAAAAAACAACACATGATAAATGAAATAGAATTATATATTTAAAAATAAATAAATAAATAATAATAATAATAATTTGGTTAAAACTAATCAGTTAAACTAAAGATTGAATGGCAGAAATATACGAAACAATGTTTAAAACCTAATATACTCCAAAATATACAAAGTACAAAGACTATACATGTACAAAAGATTATGTAAAAAGAAATATATACCCATACAAAAATCTTGACATACAAACAAGTGGAACAGCGCTGAAAGAAGTCTACGTCAATAGAAAAAGAGCCAATTATAACCCAAACAGGGAACCTTAAACACAACTCTAAATCAAAATATATATATAAAAAAAAAAACCCAGGACCAAAAAGTGTGTATTTGGGAGGGGGGTGAATCTCCTTAAAGGGTTAGTTCACCCAAAAATGAAAATTCTGTAATTAATTACTCACCCTCATGTCGTTCTAAACCCGTAAGACCTCCGTTCATCTTCGGAACACAAATTAAGATATTTTTGATGAATTCTGAGAGCTCTCTGACCCTCCCATGGACAGCAATGTAATTACCACGATCAAGGTCCAGAAACGTAGCAAGGAGATCGGTAAAATAACCTATGTGAGCATGTATGTATATATATATATATCACATTGTCTCAATAGAATGAGTGTAAATACTTCAAAATTCCAATATGACAGTATGGTTGCTTCACTTTTTATGACATAATCAATCCAGTTCTCTATTATAGATCAGTAGTTTGAGCACTTAACTGTATTTCAGCCAACAAAAAACACAAAATACATTTACATAGTACAAAAATATTACACAATTACAACATGACAATCATATATTTGGCAACATACAAAACAAAACTAAATGCTTACCATCACATGCACAGCTCAATGATGCCTGGGCAACCTCCAGCTGCTGTAGAGCATTTTCCAATTTGATCTTCGTACCCTGGAGCTCTTTTTTTAAAAGAGCAACTTTTTGCTCTG